GGGGGAGTTTTCATCAGGCGCGGCGCCAAGCGTGCAGGCACAGCTTGGCGGCTCGGGCACAAGCCCGACCGTGGGAAAAAGGGGCCGAGCACCTCCCCAAAGGGGAGTGCCAGCAGGCGCAGCCAGGGGCCTGCAACCCGTCCGCGGCCTCGTCCACGACTACCAGGTCACCGACCAGGCTGTCGAGGACGAAGTCCGCGAACGGCCGAGGCCTAACCTGGCCGCTGGCCAAGGGCAGAAGAAGACCAGCGCGCGGGTGCTTGCCCTCCCACAGGCGACACACGCGGGGCCGCGTCTGTGGGGGCACAACCCGCTCCACCGCGGCACTGTCCGTGGGGTGGACGGCAGCACCTTGTCGGGCGCCGAGGTCGGCGTAGTGATTCCCCCAGCGCTTGATCAGGCCACGCTCGACGGCGCTGTCGTGACAGCGTCGAGCGTGGCCTTTGACCTTCACAACCGTGACGTCGCCACCTAGGTCGTCCACGCGTTCGCAGATGCGCGTCCAGAGGTCGGCTGCCTCGCGCTGGGCTCCAGTGGTCTCGGCGCGTCCGCGCTCGAAGCTGGAGACCACCCAGAAGCAGTAGGGCTCCGAGGCCACGTGCGTCAGATGCATGAGGAGGGCGAAGGCCTCCGCAAGATCTGACGCCTGGTGCGGCCCTGGGAGCGGGCCGCAAAAGGGAGGCGGTCAGGCATCCTTGCCCGTCCACCTGGACAACCGACCAGCCGTCGGGGGTCTCCCTGTACTGGCGCGGTACAGGAGCCGTCACCAAAGGCCTCGCCTTCGAAGCTGCCAGAGCCAGGCCGCTTGAGCCACTGGACGAGGAGGGAGGGCGCGGGGTAAGGGACAGAGGGGCGAGGGTCGGGGACCAGGACATGCCTCCAGAGGGCCCATGTCGAGTGCTCCCCAAGGTCCCGCCGCAGGGGGGGGGTCATGCTCACGGACGAAGGCCCACGTCGTTGAGCACTGGCCTGTCACCCAGGCCTCGAAGGTCCCTGGGCATGATTCGATGCAACCAAGTGGGCACGCGCGACTGCGCGTGAGGCCGTGGCGAACTTTGCGGGCCTGGTCCCGCGCGCCATTCGAGACAATCGCACGGAGAGTCGCCTGGTGTCGAGCCGCCCACTCGGGGCCTGTCCTACCGATGCAGAGGCGACGGAGGGGGGCGAGGTAGGGGCGGGCAGGGAGGCCATACGTGTACTCGGAACTCTGCTGGGCTCGATCCAGCAGCCAGTCCTCCGTGCTCAGACGCGCGAGGTGCAGCGCAGATCGCGGGCAGACCGCGGTGAGATCAACCTTGAAGCCCTCGCTGGTATCTAACGTGCAGACTCCAGGGCCCAGCTTCCAGCCGATGCGCCTGCAGCTTGGCGGGGCCGCCGAAATCGGGCCGCGGACGGGGGCCCATTCATCCTTTGCACCGGTGGGCCGAGCCAGGGCGGCCTCGGAGGCAAACGCAACTCGGGCAATCCACCCCCGAGGCAGCCGCGACTCCCAGGCGGCCTGAGCGAGCAAGTGGATCGGACTCACCGTGCAAGCGTGCGCAGGGTCGACCGACCTAGGCGCCGAGGGGGCGAGGTGGAGGTCGAGGGTGAGGGAGCGACGAGCGGTCCGAACGAAGAGGGCGGCATGCGCAGCTCGGCGCATCGGCTCGATCCCACTCCGCGCCCTCCCCGTAACACCGCCCCCCCAGGTGCCAGCGGGCGTGAGACCGAGAGAGACGAGCTGCTGCGTTTTGCCTCTTGCGGCACGCAGCGCACGGATGCGTGCCGAGCGCCTGATCACGGTGGCCACGCGCTTGCTCCGCACCAGGCCGCCGCCCGCAGCCGTTGTCCACGCCCAGGTTCCTCGCCGACTTGCGGCCCCTGCCGCGGAGCGCCGCGCAGCGCCTCTGGCCAGGGCCGCGCCCTTGCCATCGTTCACGACGAGGCCGTCCGCCAGGAGCCCCTTGCGGAGCTGCTCGTAGGCGCCGCTGACCTGCGCGGCCACGCGCCTTGCCATGCCCGTCTGGGCCAGCTGGATGTCGTCGACGACGTTGCCGACCCGCGCCGTGCCCAGCTCCACGATCGCGTCCAGCCTCGGCAGCAGGAACATGCGCATGCACAGGTCCGCGAAGCTGCGCCCTGCCACGACGCCGCGCTGGGGTGCACAGGCTTCTGTGGCCGCCCCCTGGTAGCAGACGATGCGCGGCGTCGCGTGCACCTGGGGCAGGACGCGCAGCAGGTGCATGTTGAAGCCGAACGCCTCGGCCCGCTTTGCCAGCAGCGCCCGCGGGATGTGCTCGTAGGTCTTCGACAGGTCCATGAGCGCGGTGCACGCCGCTTGGCCGCGGTAGGTCGCCACCTCAGCCGCGGCGGCCTGGATCCAGACGCAGGTCTCGTAGCTCAGACCTGCCGTGCCGTAGATGTAGTCCTGGCGGTGTAGAGGGGCCCAGCTGGAGCCAGTGGTGCTCCTCGTCCACCGAGTGAAGGGCCGTCGGGCTCCTGGAACCAGCCCGATGGTGCGAACTCCGTCTTCGGGCTTGGGCAGAAAGACCAACTGCATCCCCTCGGCGTGCGCCCCAGCTCCAGCATGCGCCTCCAGAGCTCCATGCAGGCCTCGAGCGCCTCGTCGCATAGCGCGGTGGCATGGCGCGGGTGGACGGCGTCGCAGCCCGAGCCCGTGATGTGGGGGAAGGAGTGCCCGACCTGGCGCAGCCCCTCAACGCTCGGCAGGCGTGGGAGGTCGCCCATGTCCAGGGGCCAGGCGACCGCCGCACGCCCCCCACCTTCGCCCCGCAGCGCGTGCCGCGGGCGCGCCGCCGCCTCTGCCACCAGCTGCGCCGACTGGAGGCCCGCGGAAGGCTGCCATCGGTCGGCAGCCCAAGGCGCCGCCTCGCGGATCCAGCGGGAGCCCTTCCGCACGCCGTCGCCGACGGTGGCGGGGCCAGTCCAGCCAGGCCTTGTGGCGGTGGTGGGCCGAGCGGCCCTCGGCGGCGCCCGGCGCCCGCTGGAGGTCCTCCAGGAGCGCGTTCACCGCGGGCTGCTCCGGGAAGTTCAGCCTGCGGACGAGGCGTCGCCACGACTGCCAGCGCGTCGGGTCCGCGCCCGCCACGGGCGGCGCGAAGCGGAGCAGCTTCACCTGGATGCGCCAGGCGTGCTGGTGCCCCCCGGAAACAGTGTCTGCGTCCCCGCGTGGGACGTGGCGCCACAGGAGAGGGCGTGATCTGTCACTCCTCCCTGGGAGCCTCGGCACGCGCCCTTGTGTGCCTTGCGGGCACCTCTTTCACCGAACCTGCATCGAATGATGGAGACTCCACCAGCCTGCCGTATGTCGCGCGGGCAGCCAATCCATGCCCATCAGATGTCCGCAGTGCCTGGTGGATGACAGAGGCGCACTTGAGGTCACATTCGGCCCTGCGCGCTCAGCGGCCCTTGAAAACACTGAACCAGTCGCTGTACCCACTAGAGATGGGGATGTTCCCCAGTTCTCCCCACTCCCCACGCATGCGAAAATGGCTGCAGCCATGCAGGCGGTCGGGCCGGAAGGCATGCGCGCCCAGCTTCTCACCGCTGGCAGGCCCGACGCGTGCATGACTACCAGAGACATAAGGGCCCTGCACACGCACATCCGAACGCAGAGGACGGAAGCAACACCGCAGGGATATCCCATGGAAGTGGACAGTAGAGGGAATGGCGGCGCTTCCCCCGCAATATTCCCAAACGCCAGCTCCAATGCACCTACCGTGCAAGCCACGCACTAGACCACCTCCAATCGGGATTCGTCAGTGCCTCCGACCACCCTTAACCCTCCTTCCCGACAGGAACGCCTCAGGAGCCCCCCCCATCATTGACATGGACAGGTGGGCCCTCCTGCTTGCGCGGGGCCCACCCACTCCCCGCCGCAACCATTGATGCTCTGCTGAGTTGGAGATGCGGCAGGGTCCTCAAAGAACATTGTTGGCCCTTGCCCAGTCCGCTTTATCTTAGTTCTGCACCTCGTTCGGCCTGACCTGGTCGAAGGGGGGGAGGTCGAACGTAACCGTCTGACCGGGTGAGTCGGCGCGGCGCGTCGCCCCTCGGGGAGGAGGAGGAGGGGGAGGAGGAGGAGGAGGAGGAGGAGGAGGAGGAGGAGGAGGAGGGAGGAGGAGAAGGAGGAGGAGGAGGGGGAGGAGGAGGGGAGGGGGAGGGGGGAGGAGGAGGAGGAGGAGGAGGAGGAGGAGGAGGAGGAGGAGGAGGAGGGCATTTGGCTCCAGTGTTGTTTGGTGGAGCGCGCGCCGCCCCGTTGGCAAAAGGCATCACTGTTACCAGTGGAACGTTGCCGTGCAATGCCTCCTCAGGAGCCTGCAGCAGGAGGAGGAGGGGGGGAGGAGGAGGGGAGGAGGAGGGGAGGAGGAGGAGAGGAGGAGGAGGAGAGGGGAGGAGGAGGAGGAGAGGAGGAGGAGGAGGAGGAGGAGGAGGAGGAGGAGGGGGAGGGGAGGAGGAGGAGAAGGGGGGGGAGGAGGAGGAGGAGGAGGAGGAGGAGGAGGAGGAGGAGGAGGAGGAGGAGGTGGAGGAAGAGGACGAATAGGCGAAACCACAATGGAAAAGGGGATATGGGGGGCGGATAAGGGGGAGGAGGAGGATGAGGAGGAGGAGGAGGACGAGGAGGAGGAGGAGGAGGAGGAGGAGCAGGAGGAGCAGGAGGAAAAGGAGGAGGACGAATCAGAAAAGCAGGACGAAGAGGAGGAGGACGATGAGGAGGACGAGGAGGACGATGAGGAAGAGAAGGAGGAGGAGACGGAGGAGGAGGAGGAAGAGGAGGAGGAGGAAGAATATCAATAATTCTAAGAAAATGAAACATGACCAGAAACAGACACATAGTAATAAGGAACATAGTAGCAAACATAGGAATACCAATAACAACAATACTAA